AAAAGATAATAATATTTGTGGTGTAGGTGTTGCTTATGATTCAATGGTAGCGGGTAAAAAAAAATTTTAAATATATTTAGTTTAATATAAAATTCTATTCAATAGGTATTCGAATGCTTGATCAACCTTATATGACAGGTATAAATAAGAAATAGAATAAAGAAATGAAAGTTAATATAATTATTGATAGATCTTATTGAAGCTCATTCAATGGCACATGAACCAGATTCGATCGATATTTATTCAGCATCATGGGGTTTGTTTTGCGTTCATGATTAATTTATCTAATTAAATGTTATTCATTTTAAGGACCAGTTGATGATGGTAAAACAGTCGACGGACCACGACATGCAACTATGAAAGCAATTGTCAAGGGTATTAACGAAGTAAATAAATATAATTAACTAAATATTTTTTATAAGAGAACAATTTATTATTTAAGGGCCGTCGTGGTCTTGGTAAGATCTCTAGAATAATGAGTTCATTTAGTTAAGTAGATTGCATTTTGTTCTTTTTGTTTTTAATTGTTAAGGTTCATTATATGTATGGGCAAGTGGTGATGGTGGATCAAATGATGATTGTAATTGTGATGGATATGCTGCATCAATGTGGACAATATCAATAAATTCAGCTATTAATGATGGTCGAACAGCACTTTATGATGAATCTTGTTCATCAACACTTGCATCAACATTTAGTAATGGACGTAGTGATGATCCACAGGCAGGTTAGTTGATAAAAATCACTAGTACATAATCAATTTATTAGAGTATAAGTCTATAAATGCATTCATTTCTATAGAAAATAAGACTTTTTTTTGTTTTTATTTTTAATATGTGCATAATAAAATTTTCTTCTATAATGTTGCATGTCATAAAAGAACGAAGTACGCTTTCGTGACAATGATTATGTGTAAATATATAACGTAGAAAATTAATGGAATGTTTTTATTTCTATTGAAATAGGAGTTGCAACAACAGATTTATATGGACAGTGTACTTTGAAACATTCTGGTACATCAGCAGCAGCTCCAGAAGCAGCTGGTGTATTTGCACTTGTACTCGAAGCAAAGTATTGATATGAAAAGAAGAAATATTTGAAACTGACGTTTTTTTTTAAGCCGTCAATTAACATGGCGTGATATTCAACATTTAACGGTCTTAACAGCAAAACGTAATCAATTATTTGATCCAACAAAACAACATTTATGGCATATTAATGGAGCTGGATTAGAATTTAATCATTTGTTTGGTTTTGGTGTTCTTGATGGTTAATTTATTTGTTTATTAAAGTTTTTTTTGTTTTTGTTAAATTTTTCTTTTAAACTTATCTAGCTGGTGATATGGTTCGACATGCTAAAAATTGGAAATCATTACCAACTCGATTTCATTGTTCAGCTGGTAATGTAACTGGAAAACGGTAAACAGTATTAGTTTTGTTTTTTCCAAGTCTTTTTTTCTTTGATTTTTATTAATATAGAATAATTCCTGAAAAAGGTTCATTAAAATTAACAATTATTACAAATGCATGTAAAAATACAAAAGATGAAATAAATTATCTTGAACATGTTCAAGTATTTATTACACTTAAAAGTACTCGACGTGGTAATACAGTTATTTTTCTTACATCACCACTTGGTACACGGTAAGAATATTAAATTCTTTAAAATCTACTTAATAAAATCTTCATGCAAAATAATCATGTATTAATTCGATAAATAGAAAAAATAAAGAACGTGTCATTAATGATTAAGAGATTTATGCATTATTATAAAAGTTTCTGTAACAAGAGTTTTAAATTGTCATCATCCTGCTGTCATAGACATTCAAAAAAAACATCTAAAGGCTATGAGAGTAATTAAAAATGTCTATTTGAAACAGTAATATTGGCGTTAAATAGGATAGTTTAAAAATAGAAAGTTTGCCTTCCGGAGAAAGGATTAAAAGCTTCGAAAAGGTCAATGTAATCTTTAGAAAAATACTATTCCTCCGACACTCATTTCTATAGTTCATAATACTTCATAATTAACATTTCATTTCTATCAAGAGACATATTATTATTCAAAATTTTTCAATAAAAACTAAAGAATCAAATTGAAATTTAGGATTATTATTATTATTATTATTATTTAGATCATTAATTTTAAGTCGTCGTCCATTAGATGATGATTCAACAAAAGGTTTTTATAAATGGCCATTTATGACAACTCATGCATGGGCTGAACAAGCACAAGGTCTATGGACACTTGAAATACGTTTTGATAATGATGATAATATTAATGCACCATTAACTAAACAACAAAATCAAACAATAATTGATAAAGAAAAAAGTCAAAAATTAACAATTGGTGAATTTTATGAATGGTCATTAGTATTACATGGTACAAAAAAATCACCTTATCATCAACAAATACCATTAGAACATCATGGAAATAAAAGCAAATTATTTATTGCTAAACAAATTCATTTAAATAATTTTCAAGATAAAGCTAAATATGTTAAATTATTAAAACAAGATAATCAAAAACGTTTAGGTAGTGATGATGAAATTGTGATGTAAAAAAACACATTTCAATCAAGAATTTCCTATTCATAGACATAGTCTAAGAAAAACAAAATATGTACGAATTATCTCGAAATTTTCAAATTATAAATGTATATTATATCATCACTCAAACAAAAACAATATATATATATATACATAGACATGTTTCCTTATTTTGCTATTTTTTCCCGTCAAAGAAAAAAAAATTATATTAATAATTAATTAAACATAAAGAAAAATAAATAATATATGATGTAAAAGTTATTGGACAAAGCCCAAAATGACTCTGCACTTTTCATAATTATTCAAAATTCCTTTCTCATGATATGATCAACCAAACCGTGATTTTCAGTTCAGATTTTATTTTTGAATTTAATATCAATAGAAATTGTATTTCAATCTGTAGAGTAAAAAGTATGGTTTATCCGCACCACATAATGAGAAAAAATTTTGCATTTTTTTTTTGAGCGAAACTTTTGTTTTCTGATAACAACAGATGTTCATTTTTTTATAAGTTACAATTAATTGTTGATTGAAACACTTAGCTAATTTATACTGAATGATACCTTAACGATTATTAAATGATTTAATTTTTTTTGATTAGAAAGGTTTACTGAACGATCATCATTCTTCAATAAAAATTTCAATATGTAATAAATCCTTTACTTTAAACAATAATTAACTGTTATTCTATAAGATTTACAAATTCGTTTTGCGAGTAGTTTTCTTTTTTCTCGTGCCATTTTATTTATGAACGTATAACGAAATTAAGTTATATACAGTTCAAAAGATGAGAAATATTTGGTAAAAAAACCTCTCGTTCCAACAGATGTTTACTTTAAAGAGATATATATTGTTATTTCGCATTATATGACAAAAAAAATGGACTCATTTTGAAAGTACTTTGTCTTTTTTTGTGTTGAACCATTTTATTCATAACCATATAATAAAAATAAGATATATACGATTCGAACGAGAAATAGAGGCTGACATTTGACAAATTACTTTTGCATCATATGTTATATGACAGGATGTTTATAAATATCGTAAAAAAAACAAAGAATTAAACATCTGGTATTTTTTTTTCTGTAGGAGTCTTTGAAAATCACAAGAGACATCATAGACTTCTTATTGAAACTAAACATATGGGAAATGATTAGAAGTAATTATTTATGTATACTTTTTTTCTTTCATATTATATATTAATTAATTGCTTAGTCAAATAATTGATGTTAAACAGGTTGATCGATGATTATGAGACTAAATCATTTTATAATATTTAATTGATTTTGTATACAATTCATGTAACAACAATGAAAACATAAAAAAACCACTTCGATTGTTTGTCTATAACGATAATTGTAAATTGTCAATGAAAGTGCATTTCAACGAATGATCGCACCAAGTTTAAACAATTTATTGATGTTTGATTATCTTGGGAAATGAATTTTAAGTCAAATGAACTCTATTGTGATCATCATATTTAGATGATGTCATGAAATTATTAGTTTTGATCCTAATCTGAATAGAAACTTAAGATTAATAAATCATTTTGTTTTTTCATCATTTTTTGAATGATTTCTATTCACTAATCAATCTATTATTTATAACTTTGCACACATATAACATGACATTTTGAATGATTATAATAACGGATGTACTAGAATAAATGGACTTCTTAGTATTTTATCAATACTTTCGTTAGTCTCCATTGCTTCAGTTTGAATTCTTTATCAAAAGATTCGTCATTCAACTCTCTACGAACATATATAAAACGTTTTAATGTAAAAACAAACAGCCACATATTCTATGTTAACGAGTGCACAGTACCGAAGTGACATATTTTATAACAACATTGCTTTAATAGCTACGCAGTTTTATATTTCCTCAGGCTAGATACACGTCTATTCACGGCTCGTCCTAGTTTTCCGATGTTTTTAAGGGTACTCTTTCTCGTCATTTTTAGTTAAGGATGTCAGAAAGTTCATATAGAACGATGTGAAATTTGTATTGTCATTTATGACTTTTTTTTGCACGAAATTTAAATTTCATACTAGATCGTTACATAGACTTCGAAAACAAATTATTTGTTTTCAAAATAATGACAATATTTGAAAGCAAAAATTTAGCATAGAACATCGGTAAAGGAATTTTTCAAAGTTGATTTGCATTCGTTACATTTCCTAGAGATTCTACTTATTTACATATAGAATTCGTTCTATAAAATTATCAAAAATTTGTTGTAAGTTGATATCAAACGACTCATTAGTATTTCAATTCATTCAATATATTCACATATGTTTTATTTTTTTTCGAAGATTGAAACAAGACAAAATTATATACAAGTACAGAAGTTTCATTCTGTTTTTGTAACACATAAGAAAACATGTACAGAAAAAAAAACGATAATCATGCATATGATTAATTAATTAGTCATCATACTAATAAATTCATTTTCATTTTCGTTTTCTATTTAATAAACGATATGGTGGTGTTAATTGATGACGTCGTTCAAATTCTCTAGCACGTTCTTTCCATCGTCGTATTGGTGTATTTTGTAAACGTTTTACTGAACGTGTTACTTCACCGGTACCATTCGACGATGAAATTATTTTATTTGAATTTTTTAATGCTTGTTCAATAAGATTTTGTTCAGGTGTATTCATTATTGTTAATGATGATAATGTTGATAATGATTTCATTGTTAAAATATTTTTATTATCATGTAATTTTTGTTGTAATGATAATACTGATGTACATGATGGTACAATCGAACGATTTTGTATATTTTCTGATGAACGTTGTTCAAAAGCTCGTACTTGTCTTAAAACACGACCAGCTAATTCACCTTTAAGTTGAAGAATACTTTCTCGACCACCATTGAGTACACCAATATTCTAAATAACATATATAGAGTGATGGATAAAAGTTTAGAAATAACGATTTTTTTGGTTTTTTTCATAATGTTAAGTACGTAGCTTCAATCCAAATAGTGATTTTAATAGCTAATAGAGTTTTCTATCCAATAAACTTTATAGCAAGATTTCACAGATGAACAATGATGGCAAGACTCCTAAAAAATCGCACACGGTATTTTTCAGGTTCTAGAAGACTTTGTCAAAACTATTTTTGAACGGTACCATCTTAAAGAGCACAAAATTCTGAGCAGAATGAAGGATCGCCGAGTTTTCTACGATCTTCTCATAAAAAGTTACAAGCATCACAAAAATCATGAAAAAACGAAAGTTTTTTAAAAATCGACTAAAAACGTCTTGTTCATGATTTTTGTGATGCTTGTAACTTTTTATGAGAAGGCCATGGAAAACTTGGCGATCCCTTATTTTACTCAGAATTTTGTGCTCTTTAAGATGGTACCGCTCAAAAATAGTTCTGACAAAGTCTTCTAGAACCTGAAAAATACCGTGTGCGGTTTTTTAGGAGTCTTGCTATAAAGTTTATTGGATAGAAAACTTCATTGGCTATTAAAATCACTATTTAGATTAGAGCTATGTGCTTAACATTATGACAAAAACCAAAAAAATCGTTATTTCTAAACTTTTTTTCACCATCTTAAAATAAATTTGTTTATTGATATTTTTTTTTAAATACTATTATTATTATCATCATCCATGAGAAAAGAAAAATTTTCAATATATTTTATTTAGTATAGATCAAAAAAAAAAATAATAAGATTAAATCCACAACAAAGAAAAAAAAAAGAATTAACTTATATATGCATCATGTTTACCTCGTCGTTTTCTCCAAGATTTTTTGAATGAAATAATTCATTTGTTGTTTGTGATAATGAACATGATAATGATCGTTCTTTACATATTGATGTTAATGAACTTGTTGATATTAAATTTGATATTGATGATGATAAACGAACAGGCATTTTTGGTGTTGTTGATTTTAATTCATCTTGTTTAATTCTTGGTGGTGTTATACGATTCATTGATAAACTAAAATTAACATGTTCTTCATCCTAAAAGAAATAGAAAGAAAAAAAAATTCAATTTGGAATAAAAAAGAGAATTTATTACATCTGAATCTGTTAATCGAATACAACGATTTTCATTTCGTCGTAAAATATCATCAAGATCATTTGTTTGACATATATCTTGCATTTCAATTGATTGTTGTTCACAATTAGCAATAATTGTTTGTGATAATGTATCATTTTCATTATTTGGTATATCCATTGCATTTGATTGATCACGTTGTTCATGAATTTTTTGTCGTTCAATATCTGTTTCATCAATAAATGCAACATTAAGTGAACCATTATCTTGATTTGTTTGTTCAGTTGAATATGCACGTAATGATTGTACATCTTCATTACCAACAACAACAGCTAAATTAAGTTCATTTGATATATCATCTTCATCATCAAATGATTCTTGTGTTAAATTGAGATTACTTGGTATTGATTGTATATTTTGTGTTTGTTCATCATTATTATTATCATCATCATCATCATCACTTGTATTTTGTTGTTGATTTGATGATAATGAATGAGAATAATTATTAAGCATACAAACAATATGACGTGTTTGTTGTTGACCACCACTTGATGATATTGAACGACGTGGACGATAAGCTGTTGTTGATAATGATGTACTAACAACATCATCAGAATGACGACGTGGTACACCAAAACTTGAATGCATTATTGAAGAACTACCTCCTATTTGTTGAGATGATGATGATGATGAATTTGATCCATTTATTGGTTTTATTGGTGATGGAGGAGATTGTGAAAGAGATGATGAACCAACTGCTGAAGAAAGTAACATAGGTGCATGAATAGCTACAAGAGGTTTTCGTTCGGCTTTCTAAATGATACGAAAAAAAAAACATGATTGAAATCATGAAGTTAAATGGAAACATTTTTCTACATAAACAATGTTTTGTTTTATTACTGCATAGGCAACCATTCAAACTGATACCTGCTGTTTGAGGTTATTTTAGGCCTACTAGGACATCTTGGTGAACAGTCTAAAAGAATGATAAATCACTTTTGAAGTGACACTTCACTGATTGTTGAGACTAGAAGAATCCTAGAATGACTCATGCTCATGAGCCTTTCTTCTTGAGTTCGAGCTATTATGAGCAATAATAACCTCTATAATATGACCAACATATATTCTCACATTAGAAAAGTTCCACTGAAAGGCCGAAAAGTGTTTAATTTTTTCAAAAGCCAATAATCTCGGGAATAAAACATTCGTTTACAGTAAAACTTATGGTAAACATCAGACTGCTTTATGAGCAGAAATTCAGGTCAAAAGCGATTTATCACTTCGAGAAGTTTCCACATCAGTTGCAGATGCAGACTGAAAGTGGTAAGCAATTACTTTTTGAAAATTTGATATCTCAACAACCGGACATTCTTCTCAGTTGAAATTTCGTTACATGATTTTTCGGTAGGCATCGAAAATTTAGTAAAAAAAATCATAACTCAACTTCAAAGATCTATGAAGATGAATCGACTTTTTCCTAGTTTAATTGAGAAACAAATTTACTACTTTATATATTCTTTTCTTGACTCAAACTATTCATTAGAAAAAAAAAATACAATATACAAACTCGACTCGATTTTGGCCATTTCCATGAATCTAATAGATTAAGTCTAAAATAGAACAAATAAACTTATAAATCGATCTCAATAGTTTATATTAAATTATTTTACTTTTTTGCATCAAGAGATTTATTAATACATGCAGCTGGTGTTGGATTTGTTAATAATGAAGGTTGTGTTTCCGATGGAATCATTGTTGATGGTTGAAGTGCACCTAGAACAAATGAATTATTATTGACAATCGATGATGTTAATGTTGTTATTGAACCATTTGGTGTTGTTGTTGATGACGATGATGATGATGATGAAGCTGTATTAATAACAGCATTTGTAAAACGTAATGGAACTTCATCAGTAAAATGAAGTAGTTGTGGTAAATGTGAATGTTCAATTTTAAATGGAAAACCTAGATGATATTTAGAATTCAAAAATGAATTGATGATATAAATAATAATGATTTTCTTAGTATTTTTGTGAAACACGATCTAAAAGGAGTGGTGAAGTATATAAGATAGAAATTTGGACCCTCCCCCCTCCCCCACAGACGTTACAGACATCCTTAGCAATGACATGTCACAGGCATGACAGACACGTTGAAAACGGCTTATCACAGACGTGACAGACATCACAGACCGTGACAGACATTTTATTAAGTAGTTAGTTAATAATTAATTAAGACTTCATTAATTAGGATGAGTGACTAATTAATTAATTAATTAATTAACGGCTAGTTTGGGACTGATTATTCATCTCATAATTAAGGATTAATTGCTAATAGAATACTCCTCAGAGACGATGACTAACACGTCTAATATGTTCATAAACACTCCGAGAAACAATCATTGAGTATACAAGACTGTTGATATAAGATCAAAGACCGCGCATCAAAAACGTTTTATTATAACGTATAAACTAATTTTTGATTCCAGTTTTGAAGGGATGGGTAAAACAATATTTTAGAAACGTGCTCCGAAATACATAAATTTAAAAGATTCCCCCTGCAATTATGAAAAGCAGCTGGATCGTGTTTATCCCGGAAGGGATTGCGCTGAAAGCTTTTTATTATAATTTTTCTTTTGGTTATTTAGATCTGATTGATTTTTTTTTCTTAATTAGTCTGAAGTATCTCAACAGCAATAAGCTAAGGACCTGAACTGTTATTTTCAAGATATTCATAGTTCATTTTGTTTAATATAATGCATGCAATTTCGACTTTATCAGTTGAGAGATTTCTCTCGTAAGTACTGCAACGAATAGTAAAAGATTCTAACAATATCGTTTATGTATGATAGCTCGTCTATTAACAAAAGGAACTTACCTGGATCATTACTACTACCAGGTGTTTTCTTCTTCCGACGAAATGCTGTTATTGGACTTGTAAAACGATTGATATCGGGTAAGGATGATTTTTCTTGAGTTGTTTTTGTTTTACTATAGAAAAACAAAAATGTAAAAATCATATTCTCATGCATATTGATCAGATTTCAAATAGTCGAAAATTTAATTGAATGAATGAATATTTACCCTCGTTTTGAATTACCACCATTTGGATCATCACTTGATTTTCGTTTTGTTGTCGTTGTTGAACTTGATGATGATGATAAACAATGTCCACTTATACTATTTTGTTGATAATGATATCGATGTTCACGTGTATGTGATGATGATAATTTACCACTTTGATCTAGAAATGCATTTGTTTGATCTCGACTATCATTATTTGAACCAGATCGACGACGAAGTCGATTTGTCATATGAACAAGAAATTCTAAAAGCAATTGAATGAAATTTAAAATAATAGAACAATAAAAAACAAAAACCAGTGTTTTCATCATAAATCCCATACATTAAGGTCTATCGATCTCGGATTGATGCTTGCAATCAGAACTTACCGACTTGTCAAAATAAGTGAAGTTTATATACTTTTTACCCGATAGCGAGACCACTTGTGGCTACTGTAACCAGATGTTATTGATATACGGTCTTCGATCGTATATAGGGCATGTACCGAGCCCGAGCAGCTCAGCCTTGGTCAGGTTCCGGCTCGGCTGGACTTTGACATGGTCAGATTCGGGCTCGGCCGGACTTGAGCTCAGCCAGAGCCTAAACGAACCTTATGGAGTCAGACCAAGCTCAATCGAAATCGCATATCAACAATGTCTATCGCGACCTGTCGGAGATGCAAATCTCTCTATTCTATATATCTCAACATTTCTTTTAGACTATGTTTCATAAAATGAATACCTTTAACAGAACCACTACGACGTTTTTTTGCATTGGTTGGATCATTAATTTTTCCTGTACTACTAATACCATTATCAATACCATTTTCAATAGCAAAACTTTCATCTGAATTTGATATAACTTCTTTTTGTCGCATTTCTAAAAGCATTTGTGATCGTTCATATATTGATTCAGTAATATAACCAAGTTTTGTTGAATTAATTATTAATGTTTCAACAATATCACTAACACTTGTTGCACATTGTTCTGTCATTATATTTGTTTTACCTTCAATAATTGTACGCATTATACCAGGACCAACACAAATAGCTAAATTTTTTGCATTCATTTTATTATCACGTTCATTTAATGTTATTTCATGTAAAAATCTTAATATATATATAAGTGTATGTAAATGTTCATCGGGTAAAAGTAGAAGAATATTAAGATACATATCAATTTTTTTATCTAATGTTAATGAACGCATAGAAAAACAATCAAGTAAAAGATCTTGTAATGGATATGTTATTAATGGATATGTAAGACGACGGAGAAATTCTTTAAATAATGAACAAACATCAAATACTGTATTCGATGGTGATAAACTAGGTGTTAATGGACCATCTTCAATTCGAGCCTATGATAAGAAAAAACAAACCTTTATCGAAAATCAATTCAATAAAATTTACCATAAGTTCTTTAACACGTTGAGATCCACCGGATTTTCGAAAAAGACCTTCATGTTTTATTGAACGACGTATACAATCAAAACACCAACGTAAAAATATCGGTACTGTTAAATCAAAATTATCTATTTTTACTGATATTGTATCCATTTGATGAAGTGGTACATTAAATACACGTGAACCTTGTTGTTGTTGTTTAAGATTATTTGTTATATGAGGTGATAGTTGATTAATAATAATATTACGATATTTATTTGTATCAATGCGTAAACCAGCATTGTTTAAATCATTGGCAATAAATTCACGAACACTTCCTTTTTCTTCAAGTGTAATAAAATTTCTCATGATTTAATTTTTAGTTTGATTTAAAGGAAAATTTCCGAGAGAATGTTTAGAACATTCTAAAATTACATTTAAAAAAAAAATAAAGAATTACAGAAACGAAATTTGGAAAAAGAAACGAACATAAAAACATATACGAGACAGAGAATTCTATATATCCAATACGAATTCCGAACGAAATACGAATTGAAATACGATCAATGCTGACATCTATTAAGAAAATCACTTTCTCTTCGGAAAGAGGCGATTTATCATATCAAGAAGGCAAACATTCGAGCTTTTGAAGCACAGATACAATAACCACAAAATACGCGAAGAGCACAGTCTTCATACTAGATAAAGCACTACCATCAGCATACCAGTAATGTGTCTTGAGTATCTTAGTTTTTTATTTTTGATAACATTTAAGAGAATGACCTTGCTACAATTTTAATTCAATATTTTATCTTAGAAATTGATTATATCAATTAGATGTTATAATTGATATGATATTCATTATTGCGAGTAATTGATGAGACACATTCAAAATATTAAAATTTATTGATTTGAATAAAAAACAAAAAAAGATGTCAATAAAATCCCTGTGGTGATATAGCTGTTGTTGCTGATCGGTCTTTGATTGTATAACAATAACGTCTGTCGTGATGTGCCGTTGCTAAGAAGTCTGTCATGAACCGTTACCAATGTGTCTGTTGATTCTGTCTCTCATGGTTTGCATGAGGTAAATTGCTACCTTATACACTTTAATACTCTTTTTACACTGTGTTTCACAAAAGTGATGAGTGCCATATCTAAAGTTTTGAAAATTATTAGATAATTTACTTTATTATGCTGTATAGCAAATTAGTTCAGTCTTTATCAAAGAACTGAATGAAAGAAATATGTCATATAGTCAATGCGAGAAGAAAATAGTAGACTTCATTTTTTAGTCTACCTCAAGGCATTTCGGATGAGCCAAAAATTATAGATCCCAATCAGAATTTCGTGTTAGAAATATTGTATCCTTTTCTGTTCAAGAGTAATGGGGGCCTTTTTGATTATCTATCTTATGAGTTCCTTTTGTGAACATGCTAAAAATTATAGAACTCGGTCGTTTTGCATAGTGGAACACTTCTCTACAAAATTTGATATTGAACTATCAAGGAAACCTCTTCAGATGTCTTCTTCCAATTTCAATGATTTTTTTTGACTTATAGATATTGCATAATATTCTAATAAAAACTAAGCTGACTAAGCTATCGAATTTTTGGAAAACTCTTATTTTGATCTGAAACATTGTGCATATAGAGAATTCAACTAGACTAATTTCTATAATAAACTTCGAAAAGATCATAATACCAGTTTTCCAAAAATCAGGAGCCTCTAGAAAAACAATTCGATAGCTTAGTCAATTATAGTCCTAACTTATCGGAAATACTTTCTAATGGATCAAAATTGAATAAACATCTTCTGGTCACTCGTGATTTCATTGAAATGAAAAATTACCTTCTTGTTCAATTACGGATTTTATTGCTATAGTTAAAAAACAACAAGTGTAGTATTATATACTTATATATATCTCAGTATAAATATTCAATCAAAAGTTTTCTACAAAATATTTTACTTCATTTCGAATAAAGTTATAATTATCGTTTTCTGATAGCCTTTTTTTGTTTTTTTTTATTAATTATCGATTAGAAGATTTTCTTCTTTTTTTTTTGACGCAATAATTTCCGACTAAAAGATCAATACTATAATCTTAATAATTCTAACAGTCTCAATCATCATCTGTAATATTCTTATAGACAATTGATCGAACGACATAATATATACAAGCTAGACAAAAACAGTTTGATTTTGTTTTGTAACAGTTGTGTTGGATAGGGATAGAAGGAAATAGTATGAAGAAAGAATAGACAAAAAAAAATATATGTTATGTTATGTTTTTGTCGTTCTCCATTTGTTTATTCACGTCATACGGAGTATAACTAAAAAACAATCATGATAATCTAGTGAAGCGCCAACATTGCAATAATGTGTACAAAAACATACGCACGAGAAGGATGATTTTGCCATATTAGGTCTATAGAACGATACAAAAAGTTCTTCTTCTTCTTCTTCTTCTTCTTCTTCTTCCTTATTAGAAATATATGAGAAAAAGAAGAAAAATCTAATAGGAAACATAGAACCAAACGACACGTAAACAAACTAAGAAGGAAAAAAAACATACAGAAGTTGTCGTCTAATAGAACCGAATATTATTCCTAAGCTACATACACAAGACAACAAATGGATTATTCTCTATTTCCTTCAGTACCTGTATTTTTGGAACGTTCAAGTTTAGATCAAAATTGGGGTTTTCGTCTTCAAGGTGGAGCTGATTATAGATTTCCATTATCGATTAAAAAAGTTTGTAGATCATTTTCTTATAATAATAAATAAATATTTTCTAATTATATGTTACATATAGGTAACAGCTAATTCACCATCACATAATAAACTTCATCCAGGTGATGGTATTGCTTCTATTGAAGGACAAGATACGAGTTCAATGAAACATGAAGATGCTGAAAATTTAATTCGTAATTCATTACGATTAGAACTTACTCTTCGACGGTATGTTTCATATATATATAAACATATAACAAGTTCATTCATATTAAAGACTTTATAGTAGTAGAGAAAATATTAACTTGTAATATAAAAAATAAAACGCTATTAAATTTGATTTCAGAGTTGTACACAATGTTCGTATTAAGCTAAACATGAAGCAGTATTATATAATATCCTTGTTTGATTTCATATTTTCAAGAAATTTCCAGTATCTTACCGTTGTAGAAGTAAAACTATAAATCAAGTTAAATTCAGATTGGACTATTTTAAGATTCATAAAATCAATATAATACTCCGAAAGAATTGAAATTCCATTAAACAGCATCGAATTTATAAACACATGTTAAACAAAAAAAAACAACTTCACATTTCGAAATTACTCTTTAATTTCATAGTATCTGCTTTGATCGCGGACTCAGATGGATTCTACATACAATACACATTATTTAAAAATAATTTTTTTCTTTAGAGGTCAATTCAGTCCAATTCGACCAGCACGACCACCAATTAAATTTGGTCCTGGTCCACAGGCACATGTCAATTCAGCATTATATAATACAACAACACCAAATAATTATCGTCGTTTTTAATTGCGTGTATCTTTTTTCTTTTCTTTTTTTTTTTTTACATTAGTCCATAGCAAAACAAAAACAAAAAACAAAAACTAAATTCATATACACAATCTTCTTTCTCTCTCAAGTTTATTTTTTTTTTCCTGTTGATGAAACGAAAAGAAAAAAAGAAAAACAAAAAAAAGAAAACACGAGTAGAGAAACCAAAACGAAAGAACATTTATATGTGTTATCTCACGGGATCAGCAAGTTCTCTCTTTTGGGTTTAATCAATGAAAAAAAGAAAAGAGGAAAAAAAAAAAAAACATGACACACATACACACACTCAAGCAAAAACTTATACAATCTGTCACAAGAAAAAAGAAAGAAAGAAAGAAAGAAAACAATAAACGAAAGAAAAGAAAAAGAAAGTAAAGTAAATCATATATGAACATACGCATTAACGCATGTAATTTTATAATATATATATATATATATAGAACGGAAAAACAAAGAAGATATGAGTAGCATTACACATACACAAACGATTGACTGTCAAGACAACAATAAGTTGTTTTCATATGTATCCAACAAGTCAAAATGTTTTTTTGCTAAGTATATGGACATAAATTTTTGAGTTTGTATGTATATATATATATATATTTTAATATCTCTTATGGAAACAATAATAATAATAATTCATCGTTAAGTATTTTCTTTTTTTTTTTTTTGCAAAATAAAATGGCACTCGTTCTCTCTCTTTGATTTTCTCACTCGAACACAAAATGACCTTAATCCAATATATGTACGAACAAAACAAACACAAAAAAAAAACAATAATATCTATACATATGACAACAAGAGAAAGAAGAAGAAGAAGAAACGACGAGCGAGATTACAAGAGAAGAAGAAGAATAGGGAAATAAAATACTGAATGATAATCAGTTCATAAATGAAAATCAAAATCAGTATGACGATTAAATGGTAATGATTGATTCAGTGCTTGACACTAGAAACAAAAAAATGAAATTAATTTAGAATAATTGAAAATTTTCTTTTTTTTATTTCTATTTCGTACTTCTCGACGTTTACGATCTTCTTCACGTCGTTTAGCAATCTCACGTTTTTGTCGTTGTTCATCATCAATATTCATTTCTTGTTGAGAATTTAATAATGGATTTTGAAGCATAGATGGAGGTGATGGAGATGCATCAGATAATGTTGATGTTGGAGTTTGTTTTGTTGAATTACGAAATGTTGTATCATTAATATGATTACCATTCGTTTCTCTGAAAAGAATAATTCAAATTAATATATTTTTAATTCATGATTTTGATTTCTGGTGATCGAATTTTTCTAGTCTCAATCAGAACCATGTACGTACTTTTACGGTGAGAACACAGTATCTTATCTAGCAGACCTTGAAATCGGGCCCGAAAGAAACTTCGTACCAAGGGAGGGGGGCAGGTGGAAAAGCTTCCTACTATCCCCTCTCAGGGGGTGAGTCAGTTATGTCAAAAAAGGATAAAATCGTCGGACCGGAACGGGCGGTTCATTTCGATGGCTGGTATCGAGAGCCCATCGGACCCAAGAATTGCTGAACCCGAACTTACTGATTAAAATTTTTCGGGCCGGAAACTAATCGTAACTCTTATCGATTTCAAAATCAAAGTTTTGCTATTGACTTACTTTCGAGATAATAAACGTGCTTGTTTTGCTTCATC